CAGTGGCACTATTACACCCCTTGATCTAGATACTATACATCTATTAATGCAGCCTAAAATTGTATTGGTCATGGGGAAGGGCTCAAGCCTTGTCTTCTTGCTAATATTTTACTTGTATGTCTTGTGGAGGAATACTCAGTTATGAGAGCTCCTTTTCACAGTTGGAGTACATAGATCGGGGGTGGGCAACTATGGCAGCACTGGGCACCTATTTTTCACATCCAGCATCCATTGTAGGCTACACCTGACCTCCAAATAGCAAAACAATCTTGCAGGGAAGAGGGAGCAGTGAAAAACTACTCTTGCTGTTTTTGGGGATTTTGTGCTCTAGGGTTGCCAAACTGGATTTGGGAAGGAGCTTGTGTAACATTAATCATTTATAAATCTTGGAGGAACTGTAAAGCTCAGTCCAGTGAGACAAAGGTGTATGTCCTCCTTCATTTTCCAAACCACTTACTTTCAGCTGCAGACAGCCTCACACAACACAACTATTACCTTGTTGGTGAAGAGCAGGTGAAGGGGCATGGAGAGGAAACAGAAATAGGAAGAAAGGAGTCCAGTGACCAGAACAGGACTGTTTGGTTCTCAGCACCCTCTCTTTATGCCTGCACTGGTGAGGAAATACCCCTGTGAAGGGGAGTTGGCTTTAATTTAAAGTTAGGATTTGAGAAAGGACAGGTATCTTTGTCCTGCTTGTTAGAATGTTATAGTTCCTCATCCTGCTCCAAGATTTGTTAAAGATTAAAGTAACAGGAGCCATGTTCCAGATGCACCTTGACATTTCTTTAGAGTCTACTCTATCAGATCCATCAGCCACCATTGATCCAGGGAGATCACCATTGATTCCAGGAGACAAGTAGCCTGCCCAAAGCCACAAAAATTAATAGAAAATAAACTGGAGATTGATGGAAGTCCAGAACTAGTTTTGAAATGTTTTGTTGTTAACTGCCCTCAAGTTGACTTAGACTCATGTTAACTCTGTGGATGAGACATCTCCAAGATCCCATTTCCTTAGCCTCTCTACTCAGGTCTTGTGCCCACCCAGATAGAATCTAGCCATCTGGCATATGGTCTTCCTCTCTTTCTACTGCCCTCTGCCTTTCCTGGGGCCTCTTCCTTTCCTGAATCCAGCTTGTACCACAGTGTTTTAAAAATGTTAAAAGTATTAAAACAGTACATAGTGGCAGAGGGAGATGCAACATATACTGTTCTATGATCCTGTCAGAAATTATTCACCTTCCAAGCTGGTTTGAAAAGGATGGTCCAAGGATGGTCCAATGGAGTCATTGGAAAAGACTGGCAAAGTGGTGGTCAGTAGGAAAGGAGAAAGATAAACCACTCCTGCATTTGCAAGACCTGAGCTGTGCTGTTGGAGGTCTCTCATTCATAGGGTCACCATGATTCAAAAGCCAGCTTGATGTCCAAAACATTAACAAATTCACTGACCACAGAAACAGCCTAAGGAAGGTTCTGGATCACACTTTGCTCATGACTTGGGTACAGTCAAGCAGAGGCATATTGTCTTTTCTCCATAGCATTACAAATTTGCTTTGTTCTTTTTGAACTTCTAGAGGCACCTGTCCAGAATTTCTCATTCTCTCAAAGGTTCATCACTTTACTTGGTTGTATTGGGAATCAGAGTAGGAATATGACATCTTTTTGTATGAAGCTAAAAACTGAAAGAGGTCAGAGCTGAAACATGTCCTACTCCCCAAGAAATGTTCATTCTTTGAAATCTGTTACCCTGTCTCATGACAACCTGATGCTTTAGGACAGTGGTTCCTAAACATCAGACCCCAGGTGTCTTGGACTTCAATTTCCATAATTCCTGACTGTTGGCCAAGCTGTCTTGGGCTTCTGGGAGTTGAAGTTCCAAATGACTGAAGAACCATAATTTGGAAATCACTGCTTTAGGTTGTCAATTCCCCCCAAATTGTTATGTTCATATAGGTCATATAACACAGGGATGAAAGTTTTAGGATGCTCTGACAATTGGACTGCCTGGACAGTTCTTAAAAATGAAGGAAAATAAATACATATTGAAAAAGAATAAACTGGATTCCTGCATCAGGTTAGATTTGCATAGTGTAATGTTTGCATGTAATGTTACACATTGCATATGTTATGCAACACTTGTGTTGAATGAGAACATTTCAGAACTGAGTGCACAACCAAAACTGCATCTGCAAGTGTGATAACACCACATCCTGCTTCCATGACCTGAATATGAATATTGTGCATCAGACAAAAATAAATAAAAGCCCAATGATGTAGGGGGACCTGTGAATATAGAAGACTCAAACAAGATTCTGATCATTATCTGTGGTATCATAGCACAACCACCGGCTTAGGTCTCTAGGCTTCTATTGACATAGTTAAAGGAAAGATGTTCTCCAGTATATTTAAGACAGCTGGCTCCATCACTTAATTTCTCTTGCTGAAGAAATACTCAAGACTTGAGCATCACTGCCTTATCCTCTTGGTGACAGTTCAGATGATAAGAGTATTCTGTGAAATTCACAATTTAGGAAGATAACCAGTCTCTGGCAGCTTTTTCCAAACCTTCTGCTAGGAAACACCCATGCCAAATGTATTAGTGTGGCAAAAAGCCCAATAAGGTAGAAGAATTCTGCAGTCCTTAATGATGGATGCTAATGCAAAATGATTGTGATGCATCTTTTTATTTCCTACTGTGGGAGAAAAATCTTTTAGGGTTTATGAATGAGTCTTCATTTTTTTAGTGATGCTGGGAAGCTCAGGGTCCACCTCAAATAAGCAATTAAACCAATTTTATACAGAATTCTTATAAAAAAACATACAGCAAGTGAGCAACAAAAGGCTATAACACTCATATAAACTCACCAAGAAGGAGCAAGCACTGTTTCCAAGTGATGTGTTTCACACTTGCTGGTGTTCTAGCTGATATCCTTTATGAACAATATTTGTCACAGTGTTTAAGAACAGTGCTACCCAAAGTGGTGGTCCCTGGACTGGTGCCAGTCCCTCAGCAAATGGCTGCTGGTTTGTGAAGGTTTCTAGGAAAGAACCGATATTAGCCAATGGGCACAAATACAGTGCCAGTATAGCCAGTGTGGCCTAATGGTTTGAATGTTGGACTCCAACTGAACACCAAGGTTTGATTCCCAGATTGACCATGAAACCCATTGGGTGACCTTGGGCAAGTCACACGCTCTCAGCCTCAGGGGAAGGTAATGGAAAACCACCTCTGAACAAATCTTGCCAAGAAAATCCTGTGATAGGGTTGTCATAAGTTGGAACAATTTGAAGGCATACAACAAGACACCTGCCACATTGGAATAAAAATAATTGCTAGTCTCCCACATCAGATAGCCTGAGAAGCATTATTTTGGAGAACACAATTCACAATATTTTGTACATGTTTAATTTAACCTGAAATCACTAAGCACTTACAGCATTTTCAATGTTTAAGCAGATTTTTTTTCTTCAGCATAGCTCTACTTTATTTAGACTTTATGGCCACTTTCTGATCTTTCTTAAACTGTTTGGGAAGGATTTAAATTAGCTCTTCTGGGAACAACGGATATTGCCTAATACTAGACTAGGAAACTGTTTAGTCATTTAGCCCAGATTTGCTTATTTTGGCCCATTGCAACCTTCCAAGAGCTCAAGCAGACATCTTCTCTTTTTATGTTAACTGGAGATATGAAGGGCTAAACTTCAGACAGACCTTTGTAAAGCACTGTATCTACCCATTAACCACCAAATCTGGACAAAAGGGAAAATTTGACTGGGTTAATTCTTACTTTTCACCTCTCTCAGATTTCTAGGCACCCTAAAGTAGATAATGACTGAAATCCTGTTGGTACCATACATGTAAGTTTCCTTACACATGTAAGGTTCTTTTTAAAAAGATGTTGTATAATGGAAGTATTTATATCATGGTTGCAAAAGTAGAGTTCTGCAAGCTGAGCATTTTGTACACAGCTGTGCATTCATGGATGGTGTGTAACTTTCAAAGTGCCATTTGATTTACTGGGAATGCAGAAGTGACATTATGCATTCCCCATAGCACAATGGGTCATTACACAAAAACACTGGTAGATACATAGTTGATTGCACAGTGTTGGTATGTATCATAAGGGTGCAGTAGCACAAGCCCTGTATGACTATGACCAGAATTCTACATTGCCTACCTACCTATGTATAAATAAGGAGCCCTGGTGGCCCAGTGGTTAGATGTTGGTACTGCAGCAACAATGTTGTACGGTTGATCCTAGAGGAGGACTCCAAGGTCCACTCAGCTTTCCATCCTTTCACAGGTTTGTAAAATGAGTACCTAGCTTGTTGGGGGCAATTGTCTTACACATTGTAAACTGCTTAGGGAGTGCTAGTTCACTGATAAGTGGTATAGAAATGTACTTGCTATTGCTATATAAATCAGTAGTGTCTCCTGGCTTGCCTTCAGCCTACTTTGCCAGGCACCCATTGGATTGGGTGAACAGGGGTCTGTTCAATTGCCACCTGCCAATCAGGGTGCAAGGAGGAGGATGTTTCCATTCTTCTGTCAGCCAGCCAGCAAGGTTAATATGAGGACTTGCAACTGTGGTGCAGTTTCTGGTTGTCACTTGCTTGTGCTGGACAGGGGGTGGATGGAGTGGAAACATTATCCTCTTGCACCTTGAATTCCCTCATTCAGTGTGGCTGCTGACTGCTACAGTAGGTTGGGGGGGGGGAAATTCCCAATCATGGCAATAATGCCATGATTGTGACTACATAGTGTTCATGAATCAGTCACAGAAGTGTAACTTGAGGGTACGCAACCATAACTGAAGTACTGAATCCAGCCTATATCTCTTCTTTTTAAAAATATATTTTTTAAAAAATCAGAGAATTTCCCTTCAAACTATGGTTTGTTGTTGTGTGCCTTCAAGCCATTTCTGACTTAATGTGATCCTATCGTAGTTTTTTTCTGGGGATGACAGTGTGTGACTTGCCTAAGGTCATCTAGTGAGTTTCCATGACCGAGCAGGGATTTGAGCCCTGATCTCCAGAGTCATAGTCTAGCTCAAACTACTATACCACGCTGGCATAGTATCACCTCTGCAAACCAGAATCCAGTTCTAAAATAAAATAAAACAAAATGTTTGGAAGAGCCCCAGTGCAGATTCAAGAGATCACTCCACCCAAAGAATGGAACAGGTGGATACAGGTCTGACAGCTAGCAAAAACCAAAGAACATCTCACAAGAACTTGTGCTTCTTTAGACCAGTCTTAAAAAAAAAGGGGGGGGGGGAATGACTATTTTGTATGCGTATCTGTCTGCCCTGTATTACAAAGATAGCCAAAAGTAAGGAGAATATTGCTGACTTGCCAGTCATCTGACTATTCACAACCTTTGTCTGATGCTAAGAACCACATCATTGTTACAATTCATCTCCTAATTGGAGTTTCATTTTAATTTTTAACACTTGTTTGGTAAGAGAGATAGCAAAAATTAAAAGGGAATTAGGGAAACACTGCAACTATGCTTCATATCCTCTACAATTTGGGGCTATGGAAATACAGCCTTGAGTAAGAAAGTGTCAGTTCTAAGGATCTTTTATTTCAGAAATGTGTTCTCTGAGTACTTTTAAAAAGTCTCAGAATCAAGTAATCTGCCAATGCTTGAAGCAAGGTGCTGTGGAAGATGGCATATTTGCCAGTTGTACATTCTTGGGATGGAAGCTGAGAGCTGCAATAAATGACAAATAGTTTAATTTTCTCTCTTGCAGATGGAGAGTTTCCCATGTAATATAGTGTATTAATTTGACCAGTGAGCACTTAAAATATGAAAAGCTATGGAGCTCATGAGGTGTCATACTCTTTGGTACAGACCTTTGGAAATAAATATCTTATAGCCCTAAACTTACATTTTATCCATAAAAACTTTTCATCTTACTCTGTAAATTGTATGCCATAAATCACTTGAAAAACTTAAGATAAGCAAGATTTTGTTGATAAAAATATAATACGATATATCCTCTTTGGCAGTGAGGGGAAATGAGCAGGAAAAACTTCCCTGACATATAATCTAAAGAAATAACTCAATTTACCCTCCTTCTCTTGTGCCAAGAGCTGCATAACTCCTTATGGAATAGGAGCTCCAGGAAACAACAGCAACAACATAGTTGAGTCTCTGTAGCACAAGGCATGTGAATAGATGATCGAAATGACTTCCAAGTGTCCTTTCTTTGGACAGAAACATATGGAGAATCCCAAGTGAAAGGATGAAGTAGTTGATATTCCAAAGAAGGCCTCTAGAAGAAGAACTTTTTTTAAAAAATCCATCTTTGACTTCATGGACATGCATCCCATGGGCTGACCTTGATAATTTTTGTCCATTGGCTCCAAGGCTGTATAGCTGAAAGCTGTCCAGAATGCTAGTATGTGGGTCTTTCTAATGGTACAAACCAGTCTTGTTTGTTGAGTGTCCCTTGCAAATACAATAAGGACAGTTATTCATCCATTTAAAAGTTTTTTTAAAGATTTGTTGCCAAAATGTCATTGGCTGACCGTCACAAATGGAAAGGACAAATCAAAACTAGTTCAAGATATATTGCTGCCTGAATCAGCCACTGGCATTCTATATGGTAATGTTGACCAGGGACAGCAGGGTTTGAATACTCACTCAGCCATGGAAACCAATTGGGTGACTTCAGACTGGTTGCATCTACACTGCAGAATTAATGCAGTTTGGCACTGCTTTAATTGCCATGGCTCAATGCTATGGGATTCTGGGATTTCTTTGTCAGAGAACTTTGGTGCCACAAGAAATTACAAATCCTAGGATTCTACAGGATGGAGCCATGACAGTGTCAAACTGCATTAATTCTGCAGTTTGGCAGCAGTCCTGTTTCAGCCTCAGAAAAGGGCAATGGCAAATCCTCTCTATACAAATCTTGCCAAGAAAACCCTATAATAGGTTTGCCTTAGGGTCATCATGAGTCACAAACAACTGGAAGGTACACAACAAGAAGGCAAATTTCTAAAAATATGTACAATTTACAGTGTCTCACACTCTACAATGCTAAAAACTTGGGGACTGAAAGGAAATTCCATTTGTTATGGTATAATTCTTATTGTGGAGGCAATGTCCTGTTTTTCCTCCAACATTTCATTATTTGGCTTTGTCCCTCACTAGTGGTAGGGCCAGTCCCAGAATATATTTTGGCATGGTTTTGGAAGCTGTAATTTCCACTAGCAAACTGGAATACAAGATTTACAGTTGCCAAAACACCAGATACATTTATTCAGGTTGCACATTGTCCTGAAATCCAGGTGGAATGAAGGGCATCACATGGTTATTCAAAATACATACACGAATAGGTAATAGCTGAGATCCTACGTTAGTTTGCATAACAAAAATTTCTGCATATTAAGTTACACACTCATAGTACTATGCAAACTCTGTGCCGAATATTAATTTCTTGCAACTGAATGCACATCTGAATGCACATTCATGGATATCTTACGTAAATGTGACTCTATATGCATGATGGCACTGTATGTATAACTTCACTTCTATAACCTTGAAATGATTACAGATACTTTGTATCAGACAAAAATGCCCCACTGCATTTGTAAAGGAACCACCCACCCTAGCCTTAAGTTTGATCTGACCTGATTCCATGTATTTTTAAATGTTGAATTTTTATTTGTAAGTTTTTCCTAACCATTTTTTACTTTATGTGCTCATCAATGTATTGACTTCTTTAAGGTATACAAGAATTTTTCTACTGATACAGTGCATTTTCTGCAATGTATGATTTTGTGTATGCACTTTCTTTAATGTTCACATTTTACATACTGTTTTTAATTTAAAAAACTAAGGGTGTCTATTGCAAAAAATGGTGAAAGTAAAAGTTCATAATGTTCAATACTATAGCACAAGTAGTTTAATTTTTTTTTAATCTTTCAGACAAAGAAACCAGCCACTTCTTCATTGCATCAGGCAGTGACAATCCCATATTACTATGCACTTTGGGGGTTTCTGCCCTATCACTGTTCAAGAGAATCTCAGCCTTAGAATTCAAATTCATTTTGGTTGGCAATCTTTACACTTCTAAATTCATACATTTGGACTGAAATAATTTTTCTCAATTCAGACATGTGATTAAGAAAAAAAAAATCCCTAAAGATCATTTTGGAATGTGTTCCCTAGCCTAAGTCCAGCTGTCAGTCCTAAGAAAAGCAAAACCATTTTATCAATGACAACTTGATAAATGGTTACTTATACTAAGTATAGGCTTGCCAGGTTGGATATAGGATGGGGCTCTTTAAACTTTAATCCTGGATAGATTGTGGAACAAGACAAATTGTAATGAAACTGTTGGGCAGGACAAAGGTACCTGTCCTCTTTCACCTTCCAAACTCCAACTTTCAACTGTCCTCTCCCAACAGAGCTATTGCTTCTCCGGTGGAGAGCATGGAAGGGGTGCAGAGATACTGGTGACAAGGGAACTGCTGAGCACTTTCCTCCACTACTTCCCCTCTCCACCATGGAGGCTAGATCCATTTTGGGAGGGGATGGTTGTTGTGTGAAAGTTGGAATTTGGAAGGTAGGAGAGGACCTGTAACTTCAGCCAGTTTGACAGTTTTATCATACCTTGTATCATACCTTGTCTTGTTCCATGATCTATTCAGGATTAAAGTTGCAGAAGCCTTGTCCCATATCCAATCTGGCAACACTAGTTGAGCTGGAATACTATAATTTGAAGCAAATCTTTGATTTAGGTCTCTGAATTGTACATCTCTTTCATCTTGTACATTTCTCACATCTTCTTTCCTGCAATTAGTTGAGGATGGCTGGACAGAGTATTAGGATGGGAGATGGTCACTGGACAAAATCTTGCATTTGGAGATGTATGTATTAAAGATGTATGTATGTGTTAAAGTTCTGCCCTGGCAGAAATACAATATTTCTTCCCACTCTTCTCTTGCAGGACTAACCTTCCCCTGTGGTCACTTAGTGACCAGTGGAGAGCAGGGCTCACCAGAGAAGAATCTGGCTGTATTCCTATAGACAGACATAGAATGACAACATCTTGTGGCTCTCCAGAGGACCCTTTGTTGTTGTTATGAGTCTGGATATAGGCTTATAACCAGATGCTTCTCTAATGTTGCTTGCTCTTCACCAGTTAAATGACCATGGGGAAATGTTGTATAATTCCTTTATCTGCAATGATTAAAAAAAAAACATACACAGGTGTAAGTTGGACTTATGCATATGTCACTGACTTAAACATATGTCACTAACAGGATGTCAGCCATCCTTTGCAATTAATTTATTGGAATAACTTGTGTCACTCTCCTGCTAAAGCTCAGTAAGATGTTAGGAGTGGTGACAACCAATAATTTAAACACACATCAATGATTGAATTAATATGATGACTTTCAAGTGGGTGAGAGAAAGACAGTGGTAATGACAACAGCCCCTTCCTTTCCACACACAAACACCTGCTGATGACCTTAAAGACGGATCACCATATGGTCCTAAAAACATTACAATATATCAATGCTTATTTGCCATATGTTGTTAGATGCAATGAGACAATGGCTCTAGAGGTATGGTGGTGATATAGTGGCATGAATCTGGCTAAATTGAAACAATTTCTTTGGGCTTAATGTGTATTGGTTAGATTTTAAAACTGAGATCAGAGAGGAGGAAGGATTATTAGGTATTTAAAGATTATACAAACTGACAGTGCTGTGCTGAAGTTATGTTTAGGACACTTGGATCTTCCTGTTCCAGTAAAATGAAAGAAGAGGTCTTGTCAGGTAGATGAACACTGGGGACACATCTCATTTCCAACATTTGTAAGACATTTATGGATTAAGGTTCTATGAAATTCTTTCAGTTGTGTTAACAGGAACAGGAGTAATTTTAAGGACACAGCAGCTAGAAACCTGTTAATTTAGCATGTGTAAGTCAAGTATAGGCAGGGTGAATAATTCACTACAACTTATACACATCCTGCTAATAGTGGTGGAAGTGCATGCATAATAATTGTACATTTCAGTTGTGTATTGTGCATTGCAATTGTGCATTG